GTTGAGCAGGAATAAATGACATTTGTTCTGGGTACAGCATTATGGAACTTCACCGTTTCTTTTTGGGGATGTTGTTCCTGTCTGAGGAAACACCAGATGGCAGCACGAAGGTCAGCTTAGTGTTGGTGATCAGCAGTCGCAGTCTCTCAAGCCCAAACATAGCCAGGGCCTGGCCTTGGAGCTAGCATTTTTCTACCCAATTTCCATAACCCCCTAAAAGAGCTCATTGTGTTTGCATTAGCAAGTCTGTAGGCAGACATATATAAGGGCTGTCAGAAAAGCCACATGTGCCATGTGAAGGGGCAGTTGCCTCCCTTCTTTCCAGTTCTCTCTGCTGGGCGCTCCACTTCTACCCGCCAGTGACAGCCTTGTGTAAACATTCAGGGGCTTTGCTCCTTCAGTGCAAGTGGGTTTTAGATGTCTGATGGAAAACATCAAAGGATGAAGAGCAGGAAGAGGCCTGTTCATAGCTGGAAGTCTGCAAGCCTTTCTCCTCATGCATTCCCCAGGCAGCTCTAGACCAGTAGATGTGACCTCGTCTGCCAAGACCACTGCCACAGCTCTGCCTAACCTCAACAAGAGCTGCTGGTTCTCCTCTCAAGTCCAAATCAGGGGCCTCCCATTCCCTGTCCTTTCCCAGAAAGGATGCTCATCCTGGATGGTTATTGTCAGGTTTCCTTTTGCATCCAAAAGTGCAGACAAAGATGCTGTACAAAGATGCAGGCCACACAAGGAGAAGGACTGCTACTGGTGCTCATCTTGAGAAAACTTCAGAGAAGGTTCCCCAAACCAGTCTACATGGTCAGTGTCAAGGCAGATATGGTCCCAGTGGTCTCAGGGCTTTTGTTTGCTGCCATCACCAAGATGAAGGCCTTGGGCCTGGCCCATTGTCCAGGGACAGGAAAAACCTTTTGTTGAGGTCATTGATGTGCACCACCTTGCCCTTCCCTTTTGGGCAATGCCTCCTTTGCCATCCCTGCAGCAGCCCCACAACATATCCTGCCATCCCCACCCAACCAACTAGACAAAGAACCAAAGCGGAAGACCATCTCCCAGACTCAAGAAATAGCACCTGGTTCCCAGACGGAGCCCCCCTGGGATAACTGCTGTGCCCACAGTGGTGGGTAGAAGGAGACATGCCAGCTGAGCCTGCTGACAGTCTGGCTGTGGGCACCAACTGTCTCAGGGCACCTGGACCCAGTACTCGTATGGTGTGCTCCACTCTCGGTCTGATGCTGTTGCCAAAACAAATCCCCAGTGGGTTTCCCAAGTAGAGTGTAGCCCTTACCACGCAGGCTTGTACCACAGGATACAGGCTGGGAACGGGGTGTCTCAGAGCAGAGCCCAGATTCAGTTCAGCCCCACTGCTCCATTCTTCTCTCCTCAGAGTCATTCCAAGACTAGCACTGTCGAGGTTACGCTGTGTTCCTGTCCCAGCTGCCTGCCTTGAGGTGGCCCAAGTCTGAGGTAGCGTGTTTCCCCTGGTGTGCCCTGGGTTTCAGACTACACCCTAAAAGCACTCCCATAATACTAAATCCTAGAATCATTAAGGTAGGAAAAGGCCTCTTAAGACCATCAAATCCAACCATCAACCCAACACGACCATGGCCGGTAAACCATGTCCTGAAGTACCACATCCACACTTTTTTTGAACACCTCCAGGGATGGTGACTCCACCACCTCCCTGGGCAGCCTGTGCCAATGCCTCAGCACTCTTCCAGGAAACAAATTCTTCCTAATAGCCAATCTAAACCTCCCCTGGCACAACTTAAGCCCATTTCCTCTCGTCCTATTGCTGCTTACTTGGGGAAGAGACCAACACCCACCTCACTCCAGCCTCCTCTCAGGTAGTTGTATAGAGTGATAAGGTCTCCCCTCAGCCTCCGCTTCTCAAATATTGTCCTGTATTATATTATATTATACATTATTCTGTATATCCTGTAATTGAACAGGTTGGGTTTCTTTTTGTCTTTTATGAAGGATACTTTTAAAGTGTGTGTTACTTTGTATTTAATAGAGTGGTAATTATTAAGTGTAACAGAAGTTTAGAACACCACACAAATTTTTGAAATTCTGTCACAAGGTCTAAACCAGTATTTTCCTGTGGTGCCACATAAACAAACCATCAGATCATTATCTTTGTGAAACAGAGGCACTGCTGTTTGCCAAATATAATTTGTGAGATATTTGGCAGAATTTGCAACTGCAAACCAATTCTATCATTATGAATTTAATGTCTTACCAACAGTCAAGAGATCCTGGGAACAACAAAAAGTGGTTCCCAAGTTCTTCCAGCATGATATAATGTGTATATTTGTAGAGTTCATCTAAATAAATTATATGCTAGACGGTACTTTTAAAAAAGAACAAGGATTTTATGGTTTTATTTTAATTGAAACACTGTATACTTGAGATGACCACATGATTGCAAATAATTGTCAGTCTTTGTTCTGAAGACATTTATTAAATACATTCAGTATTTATCAGGATTAAATGGTGAATATATTTACATTACAGTGATATTTATGTCTCAGCAATTTCAGATTCTGTTTAGCTCTGGGTAACTCTAAATCCATTAAAAATGATATATTTATATAGATAGACACACAGATTCTTTGGCCATAATTTTCAAAGGAACAAACTTGCTGTTAGATTCCAGCATTCACATTTTGGGTATGAAGTAACTGGATTTTCAAATCTGATAATATTCAGTAGCTTTCAGTCAAGTTTATAGTAGTTGTTGGATGTTAAAGACTTTTGGCAAGTGAAT